CCGCCACCGTCACGGCGGCAGCCGCCGCTGGGGACCGGGCCGTCACTGGCAGCATCGCGGCGGGCGCGTCCCCGGCAGTCGCCCCCATAGCTGGGATGGACGCCAAGGCCCAGAGCCAGCTCGAGCAGCTGCTGGGCGCGCTGTCGGCCTCGACGCCTGCGGCAGCCGCGGCCGCGCCGCTCCCAAACGCGACGGCCGCGGCGGTGATGGAGGTCCGGGCGCTCCCGTCCGCCGGCCCCGCGGCGGCGGCCGGCGCCTCCGCTGCTCAGGAGCTGGTGACAGCGGTGCGGGCGGGGACGCCGCCGCCGGCGACCCTACCAGTGGTGGTCATCAACCTTGGTGCCGCAAGTGGATCGCCCCTGCAGCAGTCACGTGCCGTTGCTCGTCACCCCGCGGCACCCCACGGACACCAGCCCTCTGCGGCTGCTGTGCCGCCCGTGGCAAAGCCGCTGCAGCCGCTCACGCAGCCGCAACCGGCTGGGCAACAGCTCGGCTTGCCGCAGCAGACGCGAGTGCCGCCGCCACCAGCCTCACAGCCACGACCGCTGCCGTTATCTGCAAACCTGCCTGGTGGCCCATTGATGACACTCCAGCCGACGCAGGCTGTGACGGTGCCCCAGGTCCACCTGTCGGTTCAGCAGCTGCCCCTTGCTCCGCAGCAGCTCCCCACAATTCACGTGCTGGCGGGGCCTGGTGGACAGCTGCCGCAGCTTAATCAGGTTCAGCAGCAAGAGCAGCAACAGAACTTTCAGCAGCAGCAGGGGCAGCAGGTCTATCACCAGCAGCAGCAGCTGCTGCCTCTTGGTCAAGCGCATAACCAGCAGCAGCTACAGCAGCAATTTAGCCGAACTCAGTTTCAGCAGCAACATCCTGTGTTCACTCAAGTGCAGCCGCAGCAACAGTTGCAGCAGCAGCAGCAGCACCAGCAGCAGCAGCAGCATTGGCAGCAGCAGCACCGCCCCTCCGCACCACCCTTGGGACAGCTGGGTCTGCACCACGCGTACAGCTCAGTCAAGAGCCAGCAGCAGCAGCAGCAGCAGCAGCAGCAGCAGCAGCAGCAGCAGCAGCAGCAGCAGCAGTTGCAGGCGCAGCAGCAGTTGCAGCAGCAGCAGCAGCAGCAGTTGCAGGCGCACCAGCCTCATGCATGGCGGCCCCCACAGCAGCCACAGGTGTGGCGCCAGTAGTAAACTGGTCACGTCAACAGGGTTGCAGCCGCATGTGTGGCAATCACTACCGTACTGTTGTGTTGATCTGTTGTAAGCATGGCCCTCGTTATCTTAGCCAGTTGCCCTTGGCAGTGTCACTAACCTACCTGGCGCCATCGAATGCTGCACACAACGTGGTCGCGCCGGCCCCCGCATTCCCCGCCGCGGGTGCTAATAGCGGCTCCCAAAAAGCAGGGGTCCACTGTGATTGAGCTTGCCAGATGCCGTGGCTGTCCACTTGCGTGCGGTTGACTGTGGTCAAACTTCACCACTGGCCCCGCTGCTGGCCTGTCTTTGCATCATTCGTGGGTCACCAGCCACCGTAACAAGAATAAACATCATTCTACAAGCGTACTTTGTTGGCCGTGCTGCCTGGCGGACATAGGAAGGCGTTCTCAGATCACACGAATCCCAGTATTCAGGGGATACAACAATACAAGATCAACGCATATAAGTCCTTTCCGGGCGTTGCAAAATCCGTGAGCCTTGGCTTGCGGGGACATCCGGCATACGTAGGGATGGACGTCACGATTGAGACAGCACATGCTCAACACAGCGGACTCACATCATTTCTGGTCGCGTGAGTGGTCCTGTCCGGTGGGCGAAGAACTCAGCTGCATGGGTGCTTGATGAATGCGCTGCTGCACCGCCGTTCACGCTGCGCGGGAGTCCACGGTCGCCCCGCACCGCTGCTTCTCGCGACCGCCGCAGCCGTGGGCAGAGGCCCTACGTCAGGTGAGCCATGGGCGTAGCTGTACCATGTTGATGTATGCGCGCAGCTTCATGATCGTGCAACCTCCTGCTGCAGCCCGTGAAGCAGGCCGCCCAGAACAAAGGGCACACGCCCACGCCAGCGTGGCGCCTTGCCGCCCCCGCCGCAGGCACGACTGCCTGCTTGCGCTCGTTGCCACCGCTCCCCAGAGCGGGGAGGTGGTTGGCTTCTTGGAGCTGTGGGTACCCGCCGCCGCGTAGCAGCCGCAGCCAGCAGGGACGCGCGCGCTTGATCACGTAAATCTCCCGAGTCGGCAGCTGCCCGGCGGCTGCGCATCACGCTCATCAGTCGCGCGTGGCAGCCCCTGCCCCACACTCGGAGCGTCGGGTGTTGGCGACGCGGGCGCTCTGCCCTGATTTCCCACATTGCACTTCCTTTGCACAGGGATGACGCGCCCGCCGTCCTCAACGGCAGCGGCGCCGTGCCCAGCGCCACGTCAGCGTGGCTGGAGTCGGAGGCGGCGTCGCTCGGCGGGTGCCTCGGCGCCACCAGCGCCTTCGTATCTCGCTGCCTGACCTCCGCCGCCGCGCCGCCCTCCACGCCCGCCGCGCTTCTGCGCGCTGCGCTTGCCGCGGCGCCCGCGCTGCAAACCCTCCTCCTCGCCGCCGCCGGCGGCCCCGCCGCGGCGCCACCGGAGGCGCTCGGCGCCGCGGGCGCGGGCTTCGCCCTCGCGTCGGCGTCGCCGCGCTGCGACACGCGGCTGCTCACGTGCGCGCGCAGGCGGCTACTGCCGCCCCTGGCGGTGCGGCGCGCGCGCGTCCAAGACCACGACGAGATCGCGCCCCTGCTGCAGCGCGCCGCTGCGCGGCACCCGAGCCTCGCGCGGCTGCCTGACAGCTGCCGCCCCGACGAGCCCTTTGCGCTGACGAGGCTCATCGGCAGCCAGGACGCAGAGAACGCGGTGCTGGTGGCGCAGCGCAAGGGGGGCGGCCAGCTGGTGGGCGCCTGCGGGGATGACAAGCCGATGTGTGCGCGCTGCCAGCCTCCGTATTATGTGCATTTGACGCATGCACTGTACCTCATCACACCGAGACAAGCCGCGATTCTGTGGGGCTGGGGGGGCGGCATGCAGTTGGCGCATCCAAGAGCAGTCGGGTTTGCGTCCATGCATCCACCCAATGCACCACGCGCGCAGGTGGGTTTTGCGGTCGCGACATGCGACGTGGATGTGCCGCTGCTGCACGAGGCATTCGACCTGGGCCCTTTTGATGGCTTCCTCGCGCCAGAGCTCTACGAGAGCCTTGAGGACGCGGCGGCGGCACAAGCCGCTGCAAACGCCGACGCATGCGCGCGCGTCGCGGACGGGGGCGCCGACAGAGGCGCGGAGACGGCGGCGGGCGCGCGGCGGCGGCCGCCGGGCTTGTGCGGGG